AAAGAGGAACTAGCACAGAAAATTAAAAATGCTAAGCAAAACTATTTTGAAGATGCAAATAAGCCAGGCAGATGGTTAGCATATAAATTGAAAAAGGAGAAAGAATCAAGAAAAATAGCTCAACTGATAGATGACCAAGGGTAAACCTGTCACGGAAACACAGAGAAGAAAAAAATTGTACAGGACTTTTATCGGAAGTTATATGGACAACAGATAATAAAGGAAGGAAGATTAAACAATATCTACAGAAAGCAAATTTGCCCGACACCCAAAGATATTGAAATGATGTTAGAAGGAAACGTAACAATGATGGAACTAATGGAAGCAATTAAAAAACAAAATAATGGAAAAGGCCCAGACGGATTGCCAGCTGAATTTTATAAGACATTTCAACAGCAGTTGAAGTTTGCTTCTGGAAGTTATGAATGAAGTTATGTTAAAAAAGAGGACACCTAAATCATAGTCAGAAGCATATATTACACTTGTGCCAAAGGAGGAAGCAGACCCGCAACTAATTAAGAACTATTGACCCATTTCCTTATTGAACTCAGACTATAAAATTTTTGCTTCAATAGTGGCAGAAAGACTCAAACGATATTCAAATAATTTTATTCACCCCAATCAGAATGGATTTCTACCAAAGAGACATATTAAAAATAATATGAGAACTATCCTGGACACATTGGAATACTATGAGGCACATCCTGAAAAACAAATGGCCTTGATATTAGATGCACAGAAAGCCTTTGATAATGGAAATTGGTGATTTATGTTATTACAATTGGAACAGATGGGCTTTGGTAAGAAATTTATTCAAGCCATAGAAGCTATATATCATGATCAAACAGCAAAGGTAATGATTAATGGGGAATTAACAGAATTTATTGCTATAAAGAAAGGTACAAGACAAGGTTGCCCACTGTCACCTCTGTTGTTTGTGTTAACATTAGAAGTGTAACTAGAGATAGAAGAGAAGCGAAAGAAATAAAAGGAATGAAAATTAAGAAAGAAGACTACAAATTACAAGCATTTGCAGATGACCTGGTTTTATATTAGAAGACCCCCTTGGCAACACTGTTGATAGAAAAGATAGAGGAATATGGAGTGGTAGCTGGTTTAAAAATAAATAAAGATAAAACAAAGATTCTGATGAAGAATATGCTAGTAAAACAGAGGGAAGAATTGGCAAAAGTCCTGGAAATCCAGGTCACAAATACCTGGGAATATATTTGACAGCAAGATGTGGCACACTTAAAGAGAATAGTTATAATAAACTCAAGCAACAGATTGTGACAGACTTGGCAAAATGGGAAAACTTACAATTATAATTAATAGGGAGAATATCAAAAATTAAAATAAATATTTTACTAAGAATTTTATATTTGTTCCATACAATTCCAATTAGATTAGGGAAAGAGTATTTTGATGAGTTGAATAAAATAGTGCTGAAATATATCTGGCAGGAGAAAACAGCAAGAATAAAATTAAAGTTATTACAAGATGTTAGAATAAGAGGTGGGTTCGGTCTGCCAAATTGGGAGTTATATTATCAAGCGACAACTCCGACGTGGGTCAAGGAATGGATTACATTGCGAAATACTAGACTATTGACATTTGAAGGACACGATTTGTTGTTGGGTTGGCATGCTTTCCTATGGTACAAGGGAACTAAAACACATGGATATTTTAGAAGACATTATATACGAGAGGCTTTAATATTAAATTTGGAGCAGATTAAAAGGCAACACTATTTGAAAATTCCAGTCTGGCTATCAACTATAGAAGCGTTTTCATATCCAGTGATATGTAAAATGGAACGAATAGTTAGATATGGCGAAATTATGAATGAAAAGGATGAACTTAAATCTATGCGAGAACTGGAGCAACGCCATATAAGGATGAATTGGTTTTCATATGCGCAAATACACTCTAGATATGATAAAGATCTCAAAACAGAAGGTTTTTAGGATAAACTGCTTTAGATAAAATTTTAACAGGTACTGATGAAAAGGTGACTAAGAAATTATACGGATATTTATTAGAGGTTAAATTAGAAGAATAAGTTAAAGAAATTGATTGCATGGGGGAAAAATTTTGGATACGGGATTGACTTAAGAGAGGTGGCAAAAACTATGGTCTCAAAATTATAAAATGACAACATCAACTGCATATAAAGAAAATTTGTATAAGATATTTTACAGATGGCATCTTCCCCCAACGAGAATAGCAAGAATGTTTAAGAATAAATCTGAAAAATGTTGGAAGTGTCATCAGATACCTGGCTCATTTCACCATATGTGGTGGAAATGCGCAGAGGTGAAAAAATATTGGACTACAATCCACATATGGTTGGAAAAAAATGACAAAAAGTCATATTGATTTTAAACCAGAAATATTTTTATTGGGTGTTGTACCAGAGATATACAGTAGAGAACTGATATATTTGATTGTGAATGTTCTAACAGCAGCTAGAATTGTATTTGCAAAGAATTGGAAAAATGAGAAAATATCAACACAGGAGGAAGTTATTAAGAAAATAGTGGAATGTGCTGAAATGAGTAAATTGACATTTGAAATTAGAGAAGAAGAAGAAAAACAATATTATAAGATATGGGATTTATCAATGGTTAGAAAAAAAAGTGTGGAAATGATATATTTTATAGATAACTTTACAATATAAAAATAATAGAATTTAAGAGAAAATGATATAAGAATGTATTTTTTATTAAACGAAGTGGCAATGGAAGTTATATTACATATTGGTTTAAAATGTTGAATATCCTATATGAAGTGGTGGAACAAATAGCTATTGTTAAATGAAAGAACCATAATAATAATAATAATAATAATATACATATACATATATGTATGTATGTATGTATGTATGTATGTATGTATATTTTCTTAAGTTTTCGCGGGTACTTACATGTATGGCATTCAGCTTTGTTCGGGTATTTTCCCACGTCATTGTAGTTGTGCTTTTAAAGTTGTAGCAATGTTTCGGCAGAATCTCATCTGCCATCATCAGGCTTCTGTATTGTGAACACAATACAGAAGCCTGATGATGGCAGATGAGATTCTGCCGAAACATTGCTACAACTTTAAAAGCACAACTATAATGACGTGGGAAAATACCCGAACAAAGCTGAATACCATACATACATATATATGTATGTATACACACACACACACACACACACACACACACACACACAAAATGGAAAATATGAGAATTTATGTGACTTGTGAAGGAGGACTATGGACATGTAGCACAAAAGAATTGCAACCACTCGAAACACTGCATGTAACTGAAAGATGGTTTTATGTTTTTATGTATTGTTTTGTCTGTGTTTGTTTAAAAAAATTAAATAAAAAAATAATTTAAAAAAATTAAGAAAGGAATGTTGGTTTGCTTGTTCTTTTCACATTTCTAGGATTTCTTAAAAGATGAGATGTTTGGTCAGACCATTAGCAGATTTCTTATAACCCTTACAAGGAACCTCTGGCATTTGATATGTGAACATGTTCAAAGTCAACAATTGTTTCCTATGTTTCTACCAAGCCTGACCTGGAATCCTGCTCCTTCAGTCTACTCTTGATAATTGCCTATTGGGACACACATTTATTTAATTATTTATAACCCACCTTCATTATTTTTACAAGTAACTCAAGAATGTACCTTAATACTGCTTCCTCCTCCTAATTTCCTCATAACAGCAGCCATGTGAGGTGAGTTGGGTTGAGAGAGAGTGCTTGGCCCAAGGCCACCCAGCTGGCTTTCATATCTAAGGTAGGGTTAAAACTCGCCCAGAAACCATACTCCTGGTTTCTAGGCTGACACCTCACTCCCATCTTCTTCCCAGCAAAAAAGTAAGTTAATGTAGGAGTTACTTGATACTGCTCGTTTCCCATTCACTTTTTTAGTTCCTTAAACACACTTTCAGGTCATTATAGGTGTAATATTTCCCAATACAATCCCTAAAGTCTGAGTTATTTCCACATTTCCTTGGACATCTTTATTCTTATAAGTTTTTTTTACAAAGATTTATAATTATGTTTTAATATTTTTGATTTTTAGGAAATCCCACCTAATGATTTTATTTTCCAATAGCTTTTCCTACCCATAGATAAAAATTCTTTAAGATACAACAATTATATACACAATGAAAGTTTTATTAACAAAATTCTAGGTAACATAGAACAAGCATTTGTACAATGCTTTTGTTCTTAAAGAACATTTAGGGGAAAAAAGGTACCTAATCAGAATAATGCTCACGTAACTAGTTAAAATTAGACTATTGCTTTGTTACGAAGACCAGATTCATTATATTAAAACATATCAAAGAGATGCAATAATAAGATGTAATAAAGCATCTGCAAGAACATGTGAAAACTTTTTTATACAACAAATATGTGGATTCTTTGGTGAATAGGATGCATATTAAGTTACACTAACAGTTAATAAGCAAGGCAGAGCAGAATCCAGAGACCAAGGAAGAGCTACAGTGCCTTCTGAATTTTTGTAATGTAAGCTCCACCATACCAGTGTATTTTAAATGAAAAAAAGTGCTAATCTACATTAAGATATTAAAGATTGATTTTCACTAATATACATAAAATTAGGTAACAATACAAAACTGGAATACTACACTTATGAATGCTTTTTAAACAGAATTCTAACACACAAATACAATTCTATACCAATTAATCTGTTAATTCTTTTCATTAAAAATTGCAGTTTGCTATTGGTCAATATACTGAAAAATGGAGACAAATCTTGCTCAAATGCATTTTTAATTGTCATCTGCCATAGCAAGTAAGTTTTGACTAGAGTAAAGATAGCAATAAAAATAAATCCTACATCATTCAGGTCAAAAATTGCAAATGGACTTGTTGTTTTACGTAAATTACTAAACTTAGAAAATTAAAGATTTAGAAACAGCGATATTAAATTAAAAAAAACATTAATTCTGGGAAAGGCACAAGTATATGTTTTTTGGGGTAAGAAAAATTGCTGTAGAAAGGAGGCTTACTAAAAAAATGTAACTTAATCCTACTGTGGTTTGAGTTTAATATAATTCTTTTTGTTTTAGTTCCAGAGGATTGTGTAAGAAATGATAATGGTAAAGACACCCTTTAGTCAAAGTAATAGGAAGAAGAAAAATCATGATTGGGATATCATTTTTCTGAAACTAGTGTGTCATATTATAAAATATTCAACGATTTTTTTTGTTGGTACATTAGACAACCAAGAGGGAAATTAATTTGGGTCATATTGGCCAAGCTTTTAAAACTGATCACAGCCCTGTTTTTTAGGAAAAGAAGTTGATCCTCAGAACATGATTAAATTATATCTGATAATTTAATTAATTTAGTAGCAACTCAAATCTTTTTGTATGAAACACATGGGAAGTTTTCCACATAGAAAAATATCTGCACAAAAACTTGTTACAGCTTTTTGGAACAAATAAGAGGGTAAAATGCCAACTACTTAATTATAATAGTACATGTGAAACTAGTAATATCATTTTACATTAAACGTATACAAATAATAAAATTTATGACTGTCAATCAACAAAGTACCATCTAGGTTATCAACCAAATATCAATCAATATTTCCATGTATAACATATTTTCTACTGGAACACGTTCCTTAGACCAAATTATTCAGGGCAAAAAACTACAAATGACTAAGAATATTAATATATGTATATTACAAAAAACCTTAGTGCTTGATTTAAAGTTTTGCTCCATTAAATATTCTCCAACAACATCTCAAGTATACCATCTTGAATGGCAGTTTTAGGTATCTAATAATTTATATACAATGTATTTATATATTTATATATATATATTATTTCACAACAAAAAATAATTGCCCAGAACATTAGTATGGTGTCTTAGAGCAAGTCCCGGTGGAAAAGTGTAGCAGAGATTTTCATATAGCCTTAGCAAGAAATCTATTTCTCATTTTACATTATAGGTGTATTCACAAAATCATTCTTCGAACGCCACATTCACAGCAGTATTTTGCAGATTCAATTGGATATTTGGTACCACATTCATAACAGAATTTTGGTAACTGTGCAAGAGAATTTCCCTCATTGCTTTTGGAACTTCCTCCATTGATAGATGAACAGTCTCCACTGTCAAATCCAGCTCTATGTCAAGCATTAAAAATTCAAAATAATAAAACACAACAAAGATTAGAGCTAAAGAAATACATATTTCAATGATCTCTAAAATATTCTGAAATATTCTTTTCAGTAATAAAGAATTGATATATGGATTTTTGACCCAAGTAAACAACCTCTCCAAAAGAAACTTTTTCAGAATTCTGCTTTAAATGTCGACTAAATGTTTTATGCCACACATTTTCAATGGAAAACATTATGCCAATGAACTTAGCTGAATTACCTACAAGCATTTATGTCTCATTAAAAAATTCACATATAACATGGAAATCAAGGACAAAAGAAAACATTACATGGAATTTTGGGGATATTAGGATCACTTACACTTTTAATATTGAGTTGCTGTAAAAATTAAGAAAGTTATGTTTAGGGAATAGCTAGTGATTATCAATATTTGGTATATGTATATGTTGGTATACACACTGATAGACAAGTACAATACAGAAAATATCTGGCTTAGTTTGCCACCCCTAGAACTTAAAACAGAAACACAGCTACTTCCTTGCTTTGCAAAATAAAATTGGCTGAGGGAATATCCTTACACTATAATCCCAATTGTCCTGTGAGGTATCTAGTTTGACCATTGGGAACATAAATAGTTTTAATTTCAGTAAGGCTCTGAAGTTATGGGGAGAAAAAAACAATGACTTTCCAAAATACTTGACTACTTTAAGTCAAGTTCCACATTTATGTGGATTAGATTAGATTTTTTTATTTGCACAGTGCAAGATACATTTCACTGAGAAATGGTTCAATTTCATTGATTTTTTTAAAACAGAAAACCCTGACCCATTATGCCTTTCTCCGTATTTTCACACTTTTCTCCTTTTCTTTCATCTGCCAATTACTTCATCTGAATTAAAAGGTACAAATATAATTTACCTGGTTGAATAAGTTTCAGTGCCAAATGCTTTTCTTTTGTTTACCATCATACCCGGACCAGTGGTTCGTGTCATATTAGTAGATGCTCCCATCCGTGGTTTCATGGCCCCACTTAAAAGATGACGATATTATTATTATTATTATTATTATTATTATTATTATTAGAATTATGCAGAACTAAAATTATTCAATATTTAGGTTTATCCTAAACTTAACAAGTATGGCAAGCCTTGATTAGATTTCCTGCATTAAATTCCAGCACAGCACATTCCATAGATCTGCATAATTATTCCAGTGATCTTTTCAGTGTCTCCCAATATATAGCTGCTGTGGATATTCCAGCACAACACATCCTGTTGTCCTGTCCATTCCATTTTTTCTAGTCTTCCCTTCCTTCCCTCTTTTTACCTTCTCTCAGCTGCTAATGATGTCCCAGGATATATCCCTGTTCATCAGTTTATCATCACAATTACAGGAATTACAAATTTAGAGTGCCTGGCCCTAATTGATAAAGTTTAGGAAACAGTCATTGTTGCTAGTATTAATGTAAGAGTTTGCTAAAGAAAATCTGCAGTCGCAATCCACTTTTCTGGCATTGTCATTTTATGTGATTGCAATGAAATTGTGCAGTTAATGCTTTTAAAAATGCAGAATCATACTCTTATGTTATTTAATATAAATCAAATCCTTTGCTTATCATGGGTTTGCACTGTAGAATAGAAATATGAATATCAAATTATTCAAAAAACACAAAATGATGTTTGAGAGATTAAAAAAAATATTGTGCATTAAAAGCATTAACTGTCTCACTCAACAATTTATAACAAAACAGAACGGTTGAAATTTATCCGAACTCAAATTATTTATCATCATCTTCAAATTATTGTCTGATTATTATATAAGATCATAATATCATTTCTGAAAATTTCCTGGTTTTGATAGCATTATCCATTTCTTATAGAGAAGCTACACGTTGCCATCTAGAGGATAAAGACAAACTATTTTGCTCTTTAATTCTTTATAATCCAGTAACACTGGATTACTATCAAATGTTTTACTTCAAAGAAAACACCTCCAGCTGGTAAAAGATTTAGGAGGATAATTAAGAAGCTAAAAATTTATTTATTCAAAATGTTCAAAACTATAATATCACCACAGGTGAGAAAGCATTAAAAAGATACTAGAAAGGTTAGCAAGCAGAACCAAGCAAAATATCAGAGCCCAAATTATTTTAAATGATGCCTGCATTTATAAATGAAATATTTGGAGCTGCAACCTGAAAAAGTTGTGAGGGGATAGATGGTGGTCTTCTCTTGCCCTGAAAAATGCTGTATCTTTTTGAAAAATTGCACAAGCCATAATACAGAATTCTACAAGCAGAAGTAAAAGGAAGTAATATAAATTTAATCACTCCTCAAGTATGCCAAAGGTACCTAAAGGCAGGTGATATATCAAATGATTGAAGCCATTAAACCTCTTAAAATCATTTCATACCACTTGTAATGAAAATCACTTGTAATTTTATATGTGTTAACACAGTCAATGGTGTCACAGAGAAATTATATCTCAGGATTATAAAGAATATTCAACAGCAAATTAATTATTCATAGTTGAAATCCATTTACAACCTTAATGAAATCATTCATGGGAACGATACATTTATAAGACATTTTGATATAGACTGGTAAAGACTCAGAAATTAGTCTAGCTCTTAGGAAGAGAGCTTAAGAATGGAGTAAGAATAGGGTATCTTTTTAAGGCTAAGATTAAATCAAATGTTTTAATTATCTGTAACCCAAAACAGCTTCAAGTCATATTTTGAGATATGGAAAATGCAGTTAAGATAACCACATGTGTCATGAAGCCATATCCTGCTTTTGCTTTCAGAATTCTCATGACCACTTAAATGGCATAACTACCATTTAATGAATGACTATAAATCATTGATAGGAACACTCAACATCCCATTTCCTCTAATATTCTCATCAAGGAATGCAGACTAGTTGGACTTTGCTTAATTATTATCAGATTTCCATGGAAATGAGACCAGATCAAGTACAGTTCTAGAAACTTTCAGCACCTTGTCCTGTGAATCCCTTTGGCAGATTTAAGAATATACTTACCCTATTTGTGGACTTGCTTTCACTACATTTTTATGAGCTGGAGAACTCTGGATTTTGTTTCCTACTTGTCCACCTGGAGACAATATTTTATTTGCAGAGGAACCTTGTCATGAAAACATGAAAAACACTGTTTCTTTCACTGCAAGACTGACTTTTCACATTTACATATCTTTATGCACAGTCTAAGACCACAGTGCAAGGCCTAATACAAAAACTGCCAGCAGAATAACACAGATAATATAATCATACCTCAAAAAATTGAGAACCAGGCCAAGAAAATCAAATTGATACTCAGATAATGCTAAAAATTGATCTAACTTAATTGTAATTTAATCAAAAATATTTTCTCTAAGAATGTTTTACTGTTCTTTTTCTTTCACGTGAAGAATTACAATTTGGCAGTAGTCTTTAGATGGATTAGATTGCCATTCCTAAGATTTCAGATCACCATAGGAACTACCCTCCCCCGCAACCTGAGACTCATTTATTCAGAAATAAAGGGCAATATTAAATCAGCAGGCTTAATATTTTAAATGGCATTGAAAAACAAGACCCTTGTCCTACTCTTTTATAGACTAGAAATGAGATTCCAATGCTATCTATTTTCTTCTATAGTATTAACAAATCAGGAGAAGCAATGAGAGAAAAGTAGGGTGATAAACGAGACATTAATATAGCAGTGACTACTCAACTCACTTGTTCATTGTTCTCTTAGGAATCTTATGAAGCAGAACAATGAAAACAGCACAATTGCTTTCAAAATTATTTGTCTCAGTTTTTAAAAATGCATCTTGAAATTGTCATTTTAATTGTTAAGATGTGGTTGCAGAGAAGAATATTTATTATGGCACATAATCACCTCAAACATATGATCAGAACTTCATTCACATTCTGCATATTACAGGTTTATTTGTATCAGCACTAAGTATCCTAACTTCTACCAACTTGGGCTAAATCTGTCTCAAGGTTTAAATTCCCTCTGAGCTACAAGAGAATGCCTAATTACAAAATTCCAGACAAAGAAATCACACACACATATGCACACATGTCCATTACTTGGTTGTGGTAAGCGTGATAAGGATGGTGGTGTTATTCCTGCAGAAGGTATCTTCTTTGCTGTTGGTGTCTTGTACTGAAATAACAAATATGATATCAGTTTTTCTAAGTTTCAATATCTTTCTAGTCATTATATTTATACTTTTGTCTGTCCTGTTTCAATTTCATATTTTCTTTTCTCATTAAACAAAATTTTTCCCTGTAGTTACTAATTGGAGTACGAAACCTTTGTATCCTTTAATTTTTATCCATTCAGCTCTTATTTAAACTTCAATTTATGCCTTTACAATTATAACATTCAATATAACACATAACTTCCAGTCGAATTCTGCTTGGTACATTCTTAAAATATGCGCTAAGTTCTTAAAGAGAAAAAAATATATATAACAATAAATAAATAAAATACTTATTCTATTCCAATTCAGCTCTATCATTAATGTTAGTTATAATCTTTGACATCTAACATTTCTTTTCAATAGGATATCATACTTGTAGGGACACTTATAATAGTTCCATAATTTTTTCATGAATTTAGGAAGGAATCAGATAATTAAAAGTAAGATTAAGAAAACTAAGGGAAGGGAAAAATTATTGAGAAAATAAGATATGGAATAGAACACAAAGATGAATATGAAATTGAATTTGCGTCTGTATGGAGAAGTGATAACCCGGGACCATGCTATTCTCAAAAAAAGAAACTTTACTTGTATTATGTTTTGTGAAAACCCAAATAAAAATTTTATAATAAAAAATATGATATCCATTTAAGCAAGTAATTTAACAGGTTAAATAACTTTCCACAATCATGCTGATTAAGTGTTATGTTTTTAATGCCCCTTATTTAAGGCAGACTTATGCCTACCCTTTTTATGTATTGCAGTTAAAGCATGTTACTTCGTTTTTAACAAGCATGATAATGTCCAACAAAGAGGAAGATGGTATTGCAATGTAACAAGAATAAACCAGCATGATCTCTGTGTTATTTGCTGCTAAAGCACATCAATTGAACCACAGACCAACGGTCAGTGTCCAGGAGTTATGTTCAACACATATAGAGAGTTATAGACTCTGACGGTTGTTCTACACTGTAGCAGCAGTTTTCTAAGATCTCAAAAAAGAGTACCGACCTTCCTTCCTCCCCTCCCTCCTAGTCTCCCAATTAACAGAATGACAAATACGATTTCTAACACTGAACAACGAGCTTTCACACTGAATCTAAATTAATTCTATGTAATAGAAGTGTAAACTAAAATTGGTATTGGACTACATATGGAATGTATGGATTGGATTGGCTAACCTTTGTTTCTTATTTTACTGTCTGAAGAATGGAAATGACTAAACTTATCACAAGTACAGGTATTGATGCAACTGAAAATCTGTTCTGATTAAATTATGGAGTCTACTACCATAAGGATGCTGTGAAAGCCATGTACTTGGATAACAGCAAATGGGGATTTATATAAATTCATGGAAGATAAGCCAACTTCTAGGTAAATTATGTGACTAAATACTCTGGCATATTCTACATAATAAAGAGGAAAAGACTTCAAAGCAGATGGTACTTTTGGAAAACGATTTGAATACACTTTTGTTTGCCTTTTTATTTCTTCAATGAAACAGCTAAAATACATTGCTCAAAAAAATAAAGGGAACACTTAAACAACACAATGTAACTCCAAGTCAATCACATTTCTGTGAAATCAAACTGTTCACTTAGGTAGCAAGACTGATTGACAATCAATTTCACATGCTGTTGTGCAAATGGAAGAGACAGCAGGTGGAAAGCATAGGCAGTTAGCAAGACATCCCCAATAAAGGATTGGTTCTGCAGGTGGTGACCACAGACCACTTCTCAGTTCCTATGCTTTCTGGCTGATGGTCTGGTCACTTTTGAATGCTGGTGGTGCTTTCACTCTAGTGGTAGCATGAGACGGAGTCTACAACCCACACAAGTGGCTCAGGTAGTGCAGCTCACCCAGGATGGCACATCAATGTGAGCTGTGGCAAGGTTTCCTGTGTCTGTCAGCGTAGTGTCCAGAGCATGGAGGTGCTACCAGGAGACAGGCCAGTACATCAGGAGACGTGGAGGTCGTAGGAGGTCAATAACCCAGCATCAGGACCACTACCTCCACCTTTGTGCAAGGAGGGACAGGAGGAGCAATGCCAGAGTCCTGCAAAATGAACTCGTGGGCCACAAATGTGCATGTGGCTGCTCAAACGGTCAGAAACAGACTCCATGAGGGTGGTATGAGGGCCCGATGTCCACAGGTGGGGGTTGTACTTACAGGCCAACACCGTGCAGGACGTTTGGCATTTGCCAGAGAACACCAAGTTTGGCAAATTCACCACTGGCACCCTGTGCTCTTCACAGATGAAAGCAGGTTCACACTGAGCACATGACAGATGTGACAGGGTCTGGAGACAGCGTGGAGAATGTTCTGCTGCCTGCAACATTCTCCAGCACGACCGGTTTGGCAGTGGGTCAGTAATGGTGTGGGGTGGCATTTCTTTACGGGGCCGCACAGCCCTCCATCTGCTCACCAGAGGTAGCCTGACTGCTATTAGGTACCGAGATGAGATCCTCAGACCCCTTGTGAGACCATATGCTGGTGCAGTTGGCCCTGGGTTCTTCCTAATGCAAGACAATGCTAAACCTCAGGTGGCTGGAGTGTGTCAGCAGTTTCTCCAAGACGAAGGCATTGATGCTATGGACTGGCCCTCCCGTTCCCCAGACCTGAATCCAATTGAGCACATCTGGGACATCATGTCTCGCTCCATCCACCAATGCCACGTTACACCACAGACTGTCCAGGAGTTGGGCGATGCTTTAGTCCAGGTGTGGAAGGAGATCCCTCAGGAGACCATCCACCACATCAGGAGCATGCCCAGGCGTTGTAGGGAGGTCATACACGTGGAGGCCACACACACTATTAAGCCTCATTTTGACTTGTTTTAAGGACATTACCACATCAGGAGCATGCCCAGGCGTTGTAGGGAGGTCATACAGGTACATGGAGGCCACACACACTACTGAGCCTCATTTTGACTTGTTTTAAGGACATTACATCAAAGTTGGATCAGCCTGTAGTGTTTTTTTCCACTTTAATTTTGAGTGTAACTCCAAATCCAGACCTCCACGGGTTGCTAAATTTGATTTCCATTGATAATTTTTGTGTGATTTTGTTGTCAGCACATTCAACTATGTAATGAACGAAGTATTTAATAAGAATACTTCATTCATTCAGATCTAGGATGTCTTATTTTTGTGTTCCCTTTATTTTTTTGAGCAGTGTAGATTAAAATAATAGCCTATCTGTAATGTTCAACTTCCCATAAAGACTTATAAAAAGCAATCTGTATTGGTTCTCTATTATTTACTCCTGGTTTCTTAGCGCCTTCCCAGATTTTGTCAGATTGTTGTTGTTTCTTAAATATCCAAAAGAAATAAAACAGAACAGAATAGAATTTTGGAGGTCTTCTAGTCTAACCCCGTTCAGTCAGGAAGTCCTATACCATTTCAGACAAATGGTTGTCCAATCTCTTCTTAAAAACTTCCAGTGTTGGAAAATCCACAACTTCTGGAGGCAAGTTTCAAGAACTTTCAAGTTATTATTTAATTTTAAAACATGCTTGTTTTTAAAACAGTAAAATGAAAAGAATGAAATTTATTTACCTGTATTCGAGCAGGAAGCTTCCCTTTAACTTCACTAACCACTTTCCCTTTATTAGAAATACGTGCTGCCTGTTCTTTGCAGAAATTGATATGTCGATCAGCTGCATTTTCATTAAATCGCCTCTGGCAGTATGGACACTGAATATAATCTATATTCAACAGAAATTTATGAAATACAGATACATAACAAATGGCTATTCATAACTTCACTCACTCAATTGATCAATACAATTTTTCTCTCATGAGACTTAGAATTAATGCTCTGATGTCATAACATTTATAACAGCTGCTATTTACACAAAAAATGTGTGTGTGTGTGTGTGTGTGTGTGTGTGTGTGTGTAATATTTCATAGGACTATATAAATTCTGCAGGGGAGGGGGAAATATAGTACATCTAGAATGTATGTAAATTAAGTTACTGGAGCACTCCATTATTTTCTCTTAATTACCCAGCTAAAAACAATGTTTTTTATATTTCTGTCTACCTTCACAATTTTAGGTTTTGAGTCTTATTTCAAAATTCTGAGAATAACCAGGGAACCAATCAAGTTCTCTTCGATCTAATCAACAGGACTCTTTAAAGGAACAGGTTCCAACTGCATCCCACCCGCTAAGCTGCTTCAGTTCAATGATAACAAATAGCCCATCCCCTCTATTCCATATGTGCTAACATCTTTCCATATATGTATTTTAATACAACCTGTGTCCATCTAAGTGTTTGCAAAGAAAAAAATAAAAGTTCTTGGGAGTTCTGTTTCTTTGATTACAATTGCAGAAATGCCTGCAAAGTGTGATGAGAGAAACATATCAGTATATTTTCAAACACATAGTTTTTACAACTCTAGTTTCATACAGCAATACAGGACTCCCATGTATGGATGGATGAGGGAAAAGGCATTGGCTGATGGCTGGCTTTAGCTCAGTCAGGGGAAAATTGAAAGTGGTGAACATTGTTGTTGTTTTTAACAGAAGTTTAAAACTGATTTAAAAAACTAGATTCAATGATATAGTCGTCTGAATTCCTTCCCTAGGACAATTAGACTGAACAAGATCTTATTTGTGGTCACACACGGGGAAGTGTGGTAAAGCAAGACAAAAGCCAAATAATTAAATCTTTCCTCTTAAGTGTAGATTCCTTTCCAATTCCAGGTGTAAAAAGTTTTAGTGCAAAACCTCTGACAAATAATCAATGACAAATAATCAAGGCTGCAGTAACTTAGGACAAACTTGCCTCTTTTTCTACTGATGTAAACGTGCAATTATTTCCTATATAATAATTTAGAAATGATTCAGTAACAGAGCTTTGTGTGAAGATAAAAAAAAAGAATCATGGTATCAGGTCTAGGTCTGTGTCATTCATAAAAGATACTCTATATAATTAAAGTTTTGCATATAAAGAAGACAGATAAACAGAACAGACATGATAGGTAGAATCTAATTTTTTCAAATCACCCAGTACTCCTAAAAGTTTACTCTCTGAATAAAAACAAAATCAAATATAGAGGATTTCGGATATAAAGTTATCTGTCCTAACAAGCATGGTGATCATGTATGATTGATTGATAGAGCTATGTAACTGTTCAAAAATAATACTGCATGAACATATGCTAAAATGTATACATATCTCAAATTCAAATTATATACCAGGATCATAAGAAGGAGGTGGTGGCGGCGGCAATTTTCCACCTTCTTTAAGAACCTGATCTACTCCTTTGGCTGCTCTTATAGCTGCTAAGAGCTCCTGGTGCTTTCGTCGCCAGTTTGATGGTTTCTTTGGAGGTTCTGGCTAAGGAGACAACACAGACAACAGACATAGTTTTGCGATGTAAAACATTTGATTTCTCTTGTTCCCAATACAATAAGCAATAACTCAAACAACACCAGCTAAATAAAAACACTGTATTATTTTTAACCAGGCTATCTGCCAAACTACATTTAGTCTTTGAGACAAGTGCTGTGATAGCACTTATGAAAGTAAAGTAGGCAAACAAAAAGTAAATTTAATATTCCAGGCAAGCTGAATTCCAAGTAAGAACAATGTCTGATTATAATCACTTCCTACTCTTCTGAATGCTTGCTGAATTGTCATTAAGGAGAGCTATTTTCTTGTTTTCAATATAGTTAGGTATTGCTTTAAACTTAGAAGTAATTACTGTTATATTAACTGCTCACATAGGAATGCAGAACTAGATTAATTTAAAGTATTAGGTCTGCCCAACACCAACAAAATATATCTAGTACAGTATAAAATTATACAGAGAAAGTTAAGCACTTAGATCATTAGAGATGAGAACTCCAAGGTCTTTGGATCATCAACAAGGTCTTGACTATTCAGTTGGTATTTTACTTTCTGACTTTTTTTGCCAATATGTAAGACAGATCATTTATTTGTTGAGATTTGAAGTTGCCATTTGTTTGACCATTCTGATACATAGTCGAGGTCTTTTTGAAGGGTAGCAGTATTGTCTGTGGTGTTGAAGAGCTTTACATCATCAGCGAAGAGAACACAGTTGCTCTTAATATGATCACAGAGGTCATTTATGTAGAACATGAAGAAAGTTGGTCCTAGAACACTGTTCTGGGGGACATCAGTGTTGACAGGTACAGAATTTGATAGGACACTTCCAATTTGACCATTTGTTGTCTGTTTGACAGGAATGCTTCTATCCAGTTATGCAGGTGTCCAGAGATACCATAAGATTTTAGTTTTAGTAGTAGTTTGTCGTGTACCACCGAATCAAAGGCTTTACAGAAGTCTATGTAGATTGTGTCTATTGCTTTGCCCTGATTGAGTTGTGTAGTCCATATGTTTTTGCAGTGTAAGAGTTGCAGATTACAGGATAGTTTTTTTCTGAAACCAAATTGTTTATTAGAGAGTAGGTTGTTTGTCTTGAGTTGATGATAAAGATAATGCCAAGATAAAAGAAATATTATACGAGAAGTACACTTAAAACAATTAAGTTCTTTAATCAAAGAAAAAAATAAATCAGTACATTACTTTGAATAAGTTCCTAAAAGCTCATAACATATTTGCAACCAATATTACATAGGTTTTTTAAAAAATAATAACTATATTTCAGCATTTGGGTACTTACCCGTGGTTTTATAGGCTTTACTGTGGAAATATCAGTTCCCTCTGCTCTCTGTCTGCTAGAGTCAAATGTTTTTCTTTTTTTAGCAGCAGTTTTTTGGCAAATGGGAGCATGTTTTTTCTGTGAAATGAACATTTAAAAAAGTGGAATATTTATACTTGGATTTTTAAAAATTCATTATCAGCTCCCTGTCAGGAAAGAAAAGCAAAAAACTCAAGAGATAAAGCTTACAGGAAGTCCTCAACCTATGACTATAATTGAATTTTGCTTGATAAGCAATGTGGTCATTAAGCGAATCATACGATCAGACCTGATTCTACTACCATTTTTATCATGACCATTAAGCAAATCACCATAACTGTTCAGTAAATCCAGCTTTCTTGCATGGAGTTTGCATCTGACCCAAGGAGCCCAGCATCTGGCACTGTATCAACAATCACTGTCTTTGTCTATCCTTGTGGTTTTCTTGATAAAACACAGAAGTAGTTTACTCCTGTGCAGCATGAAATACCTTCACCACTGTCACTAAAAGAGATCAATAAAATAGAACAGAATAGAATACTTTATTGACCAAGTGGGATTGTTTCCAGAACCTTCCTATGGGATAGAACCTGTACAAGCTCTTGCTTGCCATACATGGGGAGCTGAGATGATTTCATGCCTTGAGTGACTCTGCTAGTAGTACTTATACTTAGACTATAATGGTCTTCACTCATTTCTTCTGGGAAGGCAGGAGGAATAAAGGCAGTTTATTCAAACTGCCTTTAGGGGAGAAGCCAAGATATATGCTAGCAGCTTTTGAAATAAACTCCTGACTTGCAACAGGCCTTACTGATTTGGGCATAACCTGATGCCTTTAAAATGTCACTTGGGGCAAGAAAATAACCCAGACCAGCCCCAATAACATTACCGGAACCCTCAAATTTAACAAGGCAACCTGACATTATAAGGCTGCTGTATGAAGGGGCAACTAATATATTTAGTATTTTCTGCCTTGATCACTGGGTTTATAAACAAGCTTACTTAACTTATGACTTGCATATGAACGCTTACTTGCATATGATTCAGACAGATCCTGAAAACCCAACATTTATTTATTTTTTAATCAGTTCTGTACCCAGGAATTAGGCTGGGTTATTAAAAATAATGAAAATCTTGGTACTATAAAAAGATGGGCAAAACGTAACGACTCAGTGTCAAAATTACTCTATATGAGAGTATGAGTGGAAAATCCAGATGTTCCACTTGATTGAAAGAGTTGCCACCTCCCTCTTCTACACACCTGGCCAGGGTCAACACTATTAAGAACACTATGTTCCAAGTCAAGTTCCTGATAGGAATTCAACAAATGGCATCAAGAAGAGTTTTTACAAAGGTCTGTAATGGTAACATAAATCACAAATATGGAGATGATGAATCATAGAAGGAGAAAGAAGAAACAAACCTTTAAGGAAACATTTCAGTGAAATGAAAGTTCCATTGTCTGGAAAAACAGAGTCCTACCAAGATATTTGCTTGTGGATTTTAGTATCTGAGAATTTATCAGTTATCACCACGAGGATGGTGGGTTAATTTTAAACAATACTATAGAGATTATTTTAATGGAAACAATATTGAACTATGTATCAATATGGACTTGAACTGAGTTTCTATGTATTTTGAATAAACCTTTCCTTCATGCTGTCATGGTGTTTACTTTTGTACCTGCTCTTATGGGAACATGAAAAAGGAGAGGGAAGAACATCAAGAAAGAACATTCTTTTTGGGTCTTGTGAAAGGGTGGTTATGCCTTATATAATACCATATTTCAAGGCCAAAAAACTGACCAAGTAAATGGAGAAAAAAGCATTATCTTGCTTAGGCCTTCAAATTACTCTAAAGAACTGGTAGAAAATACCAGGGCTTCTACCAAAATACAGAATCAGACAAGACTTGGCACTTTCCCCACAAATAAGCTTCTACCCATCCCCACTTTAGAGATTCCCTGATGTTATGGCTGGAACAATAAAGACTGTCTTGTAGTCCGTAGTTTGGGAAAGGACTCAATTATTTGAGATGTTCCCTACACTTTTGCAATATCATGTATGGAGTAGCCCTTGTGAAAAAAAAAGCACAAAGAAGGAATTGAAATAACTTTGCTCAACAAGCTCAGTTTCTATCTCCTGGAGACTTCTCTACAGGCTGAAGTGAACAAGCAGTCTTCCTGTTGCTGAGGGAACACTGCAAAGCATAAATTGGCAGCTCAGAGGCTTTTGTATCATTGGGCCTCCTGACAAGGTCAGAGGTAACTAGTTGCTTAACCAGCCATCCTACTTATCTATACCTAACAGGAAAAAGGAGGGAGAAAACTTCTGCAGCTTCTTCAAAAAATGGTCTGAAAGCTGGCAGGAAAAAAAGCTGTTCTCTACAAAGCAGAGAAAAAGATGATGGGATCATGTTCTCCTTTTACAAAATAGCATATAATTGTTCCATTAAAAAATTCCATCATAGCAATAATAGCAATAAGCTTATATACTGCCCCATAGTGCTTTGCAGCATCCCTGAGTGGTTTACAAATGTCAGTATATTCCTCCCAGCAATCTGGTTCCTCATTTTACTGACCTCGGAAAAATGGAAGGCTGAGTCATCCTTGAGCTCTAATCAAACTCCAGGCTGTGGGCAGAGTTTGCCTGCAATACAGCATTCTAACCACTGCACCACCAGGATTCCTATCATTTCTCACCTTGATTTAAATAAATGGGGCGTTGGTTGTTACCTGATACGCTTCTTCTCGTAGAGCTGCGTAGAGCATCCAGAGTGGGAGGTGCTCCAGTCTCAGCTCTCACAGGCTGCGCTTGAATTGAGGAACGCTCCTCCCCATCACATGGTCCCTCGTAGCGTTCCCCAGTTTTGCGAAGACGAGAAGGAAAAGGCCTTCTGATCCTAACTAACAACTAGTCCATTGGCCGAAACAAGATTCCCCACCAGACGGAAATAAAAGGGTGGGGCTGGATGCTCTACGCAGCTCTAGAGAAGAAGTGTATCAGGTAAGAACCAACGCCCCTTCTCCATAGAGCTGCTGCGAGCATCCAGAGTGGGACATACCAAAGCTTGCCGAGTCCTACGGGAGGGACCCCGTCTGGTTCGGAATCTCCTCTGGATCCTCAAGGACCCGTTGTAGGACCCGCCTACCAAAAGAGGCCTCCGCCAAGGCAAAAACATCAATTTTGTAATGCCTGATGAAAGGGGACGGGGATGCCCAGGTGGCAGCCCGGCAGATGTCGGTTATTGAAGCTTGCGTGGCCCAGGCGGCCGAGGTAGCTGCGCTCCTGGTGGAGTGCGCAGTTATGCCGGAGGGGATAGGTAGAGCCTGTGCCTGGTATGCTTTCGATATAGCGGCCCTGATCCAACGGCCAATAGTGGTAGGTGACACTTTGTGACCGAGCGACTTGGGTTGGAACTACAGAAATAATGCCTCTGACTTCCGGAAGGGCTGGGTGCGCCTGATGTAGATCCTCAGGGCGCACCTCACGTCAAGGGTGTGCCACTGTCTCTCCCTTTCCCGAGAAGGTCTAGGGCAGAAGTTCGGGAGGATGAGCTCCTGCGCTCTGTGGAAAGCTGAGTTAATCTTGGGTAAGAAGGTGGGCTCGGGCTGGAGAACGACCCAATTGGAATGGAACATGCATAGATCTTTTCTGATAGACAGGGCTGCTATGTCCCAAATCCGGCGGGCAGATATGATAGCAACGAGAAATACAGCCTTGAGCGTCAGAAACTGAAGGGAGGCCTCCCTGATGGGTTCGAAGGGAGGCTTGGTGAGTGAAACGAGAACCGTATTGAGGTCCCAGGTAGGATAACTGTGGACAGCTGGGGGGCGTAGGTTGGAAGCTCCTTTAAGAAAGGCCCAGATACAGGGGTGGTGGGAGAGGGAACCCTTGCTACCGATGGAAATAACGGTTGCCAGGGCCGCGACCTGCCATCTCAAGGTGTTAGGGGACAATCCCTTGTTAAGGCCCTCTTGGAGGAAATCCAGGACTTGTGCAATGGAGGGAGAGAGGGGATTGGTCTGGAGTTTGTGGGACCAATTACGGAAGGCGACCCACGTGGCGTTGTATATTCACGTGGTCAAGGGCCGTCTGGCTGCCAGAATGGTGTCTATGACCTGGCTGGAGAACTTCTCCCTCCTTAAGCGGTCCCGCTCAACCTCCAGACGGCTAATTGGAGCCATTGGGGTTCCGGGTGTAGAAGTGGACCCTGAGACAGGGAGATCTTGTCGGGATCCTCCAGGGGGGCACTGAAAGATTGCGGAGGTCTGCAAACCACGGACGTCTGGGCCAATAGGGGGCAACCAGAAGGACTTCCGCTTGCTCCAGGATTAGCTTGTGGATGACCCTGGGGATGAGGGCCAGAGGGGGGAAGGCGTAAAGAAGCCCTGGGGGCCAGGAGCAACGCAGGGCGTTGTGGTTCTCCACCCTGTGTGAGGGGTACCTGGAGAAGAACCTTGGGAGCTGGGCATTGAGGGGGGATGCAAAGAGGTCCACTTTTGGAAGGCTGAAGATTGAGGCCGCCTCCCTGAATAGGGATGGGTGGAGACACCATTCCACTTGGTCTAGGGTGGCTCTGCTGAGCCAGTCCACTCGGATGTTTAGCGCCCCCGAGATATGGTCTGCCTTGATGGATGTAAGGTTTGCTTCCGCCCAGCGACAAAGGCGTTCAGCCTCCCTCATGAGCCGAATCGATTGGGTGCCCCCCTGTCTGTTGATATGGGCTTTGGCCGTCACGTTGTCTGTGAGGACCAGTGTCACCCGCATACCTGAGGGAGGAAACTGCGAAGTGCCAGGTAAACGGCGTGGAGCTCCAACCAGTTTATGCTTCAGAATCGTTCTGTGGTTGACCATCTGCCCTGGGACGAGAGAGAGTGGAGGTGTGCACCCCATCTGAACAGGCTTGCGTCTGTATTGAGGGTCAGCCTGTTGGGCTCCTTGAAGTAGTGGCCCTTGTTGATGGCCGGTCTGGTCCACCGGAGGAGGGACGTAAGGACTCTTGGAGAAACCCTGACCATGAGCCTTGAGTTCCTCCTTCCTGATCACTGATACGGAAGCAGCAACCATTGAAAGGATCTGGTATGAAAACCGGCCCAGGGAACAATAGAGATGCATGAAACCATTTTGCCTAACAATTTTGACAAGTCTAACAAAGAAACCTTTTTTGAACGTCTAATAAGATGAACGGATTTTTGAATGCTAAGGAGTCTTTCCGGGGACAGGAAGACCAGCTCCTGAACAGTGTCAATCACCTCCCCCAGATGGGTTAACCGGGTAGAAGGGGAAAGGTGACTTTTTTTCCAATTTATCAGGAACCCGTGGTCCTGGAGGGCAGAGAGAGTGATTCTGGTGTCTCTTTCTGCCTGATCTTTGGAGGGGGACAGGATGAGGATGTCATCCAGGTAGCAGTGGAGACAGACTGGGAGGCTTCTCAGGTGGGCTGCCAGGGCCGCCAGGACCTTGGTGAAGGCCCTGGGGGCCGAGGACAGTCCGAAGGGAAGTGCGATGTACTGGAAGTGTTGTTTGTTATAGGAGAAACATAGGAACTTGTAGTGAGAGGGCCGAATTGCGATGTACAAGTACGCCTCTGAGAGGTCAATTGAAGTGAACCAGTCCCCTCGTCTGGTTCCTAGAAGGATAGATTGTAATGTGTGCATTTTAAAGTTGCGGGGAGACAGGTAGCAATTCAGTCTTTTTAAGTCTAAGATCGCCCTCCAACCCCCCAAGTGTTTTGGCACTACAAACAGATGGGAATAGAAACCCTGTCCTCGTTGAGCGACGGGGAGGGGTTGAATAGCTTTTATGTCAAGGAGGTGACTGATGGCGGCCTCCATGAGAGCATGCTTGGCAGGGTCTCTGGAGAGGGGGGAAGTCATGAAGAAGTCGGGAGGGGGGGACTGGAACTCACGGGCAAGGCCAAAGCGGACAGTGTCTCTGACCCAGGCATCGGAGGTGGAGGCCTCCCATCGGTTGCGTCCACCGATGGGGAGGGAGTGGATTAAGTTATCTGGAGCGCCGAAAGGGCCTGCTCCCAGATCCCCGGAAGGGCCTTTTATAGGAGCCACCCCTTCGGGACCTCTCAGCAGAATCAGCCCGATCTTGGGATGGGGGCGGCCGGTAGGAGGGAGATCTCTGGTACCTGGGGGGAAAGGAGATCTGGAAGGAGGAACGAAAGGATCCTCGTCGAAAGGGCAGGGGGGCTCTGGAGTTGGACCTCCGAAAAAGAGAGGGGAGGTATTTGCGCTTGTTACGACTCTCGACCAGCAAGGGATCAAGGACCGGACCAAATAATTTACCTCCCGAAATGGGAGCGGATGCCAATTTCACCTTGTTCTTAATGTCCGCTTGCCAGTGGCGGAGCCAGAGCAAGCGGCGAGCTGTGACCTGCAATGATATGGCCCTGGTGGAGAATTTCACAGACTGATAAGTGGCATCGGCCGAGAACTCAACCGCGGTCGTGAGCTTTGCAATGTCCTGGTGTGCCCTAAGATTGGACGTGGGGTCATGTTGCTTTAGCTGGCGGAGCCATCTGATAGAGGATCTGGTGAAGAAAGATGCGGCCGTGGCTGATCTAATGGCCCAGGCATCAGATTGGTGAGCCCGGCGTAAGGCCAGCTCGGCTCGCTTGTCTTCTGGTTTCAGGGCCTCTAGGGCATTGCTAGGGATCAAGGAAGAAGCCAGGCCCATGATGGGCTCGTCGACCGTGGGGGTGTCCAACAGGAGAGAGAAGTCAGGATCAAGGTTGAAAAACCTTTTGTCCTGACTGGAGGGGGCTGGAGGCGCCCCTGTAGAGGCCAGCTGTTTGGAGACCAGGTCGGAAAAGATAGGTGGGACCGGGATGACCTCGGTCTCTACTACCGGCTGCCTAAAGATGGAGTCATCGCCCCCCCCCCCCCCGAGGCAGTGGGAAGTGGGTCGGAGGGAGGCTGGGAGATCAGGCCGGAGATATTCTTGGCCTTGAAAAGAATGGATTTGAAAAGATGCAGTTTGAACAGTCCTACAAAGGCGGGCTGGTCAGGGGTGAGGCCTTCATCCTCTGACATTTCCCCCTCCATTGGATCCGCCCCCGAAAGGGGTTCACTATAGATCATGGACCCCAATTCAAAGTCCTCTTCTTCCCCGAATTGGATCGGGTCCCCTTGATCTTGTTCCTGCTCCTCCTCCTCTACCCCATGAGAAAGAGAGAGGTCCCTCTGAGAGTGTACCTGACCATGTGAAAGATCCAATCTGGGGAGAGATCTGATGGATGGAGACTGGACTTCAGGGGCCGCAGGCCGAGTGGCCGGACCGACCATCTGCTGGAGACCCTGCGCAATTCCCTGGCGGATGGCAAACTCCATCCAGGATCTCATTTTCTCAGGGATTTCGACCATGGGATCCTCCTCTGGTTCCTCTTGGCGCAAGCCAGCAGCAGTGGGGGTGAAGGTAGCTTCGGGGACTTGTCTAGGCGCCGGACCCGAAGATTGAGCAGGTGAGGGAGGAGGAGGGTGGAGTTGGGTGGAGGTAGAGGGAGTGGCGGGAGGGAGGGTCAGAGGCATGGAGCATGACTCTCTAGACCGCCTATCGATTTCCCTCTCCAATGCCTTGTGGCGTCTGAGGGCATCCTTCTGTGAGACTTTGGAGGTCTCCTTTGCCTGTCTGCGCAGATAATGCGTTTTGGACTTGGCCTTCAGAGAAGGTCCACGTGAAGCATTGTCATCTGCCATCTGAAAAAAATGCTGAAAAAAAATTGTTTAGAATTAGTAAGAGATGGTTGGCTCGTCTAGTTTTGCGACCTGCACCAAGGCTGGGTGTCACAGCGGTTGTTTCACGCCCCGCTTTTGGTAAAAAAAATTTTTTGTGTTGATTTTTATGGTTTGTTGTATTTATTCATTTATTAATTATTTTTTTAAAAAAAATACCAGTCTGATATTATTGCAGTAATGTAACAAATACAAATATATATGGAAAAATTTGAGCCTATTGCTCTTTCGGTTTTATTTATTTATTTATTTAATTTTGTTCCAGCGGAAAAGAGGGAGGCTGCCCCAGGAAGGAGCAGCAGTTGCAAGGCACAAGGGTAATTCAATTAGCCGAAAGGAACGTCAGAGGCCTGAGAAAAAAGGGAAAAAACAAGTATTGGCCTTCAGCAGCTGCCTCCCCAGATGAAGACTGGGGGGTTGAAAACGCTGCTACCTCGCCAGCTGAGGGGGCTACGGAAGCCAACGGACCTTAGGAAGGCTCAGGGACCCTCGAAAAACGACCCAGAGGGAATGAGTGATAGGCTTTAAGCAGTCCCTGGGGATCTGCTTAGTGAGTTAGATTGTCAATGCAGCCTGGAGAATGGCCCAAAATGGCGGCCGCGAGCCGGCGCTGAGGGAGAAGGGCTATCAGCGGCGGAAATCACTCTCCCGATAGAGGAGGCCTATGAGGGCCTGAAACGGGAGGAGAAGGGGGCAGTTAGCTCTCCCTTGGTATATCGGCGTTCAGTGGGGGGGAAACAACCAATTGGAGGCAGGAATGAAAGCGAAAGCGCAAATAGGTAAAACAAACGAAGCGGTAGCTGAAGGTGGGGGGGCGCCAACAGCGTGAAGCGCTGGAATTCTGCCCGATTATCACCCCCCCCCAGAAGGGGAAAGAACGCTCCCCTAGGGAGGCTCTAGACCCCAAGGCTAACTGCGCAGAAATAATATAAAATAAACGGTCCAACCTGGAAGTGAAGAGAGAAAATCCTGAGTCGGCCAAGAGCTCAGAGAAAACACAGCCTGACTGTCACGAGGCTGAGCTAAAACTGGGGAACGCTACGAGGGATCACGTGATGGGGAGGAGCGTTCCTCAATTCAAGCTCAGCCTGTGAGAGCCGAGACTAGAGCACCTCCCACTCTGGATGCTCGCAGCACCTCTATGGAGAATCATCGGACATTATACTCATATACTTACTAATGCAGGTGGAAAAAAAGTCCTTCCACAAATCCGACATGGTAATAATTCTTCAGACTGTTGTGCATTTTTATAATCTGAAAAAGAAAGATACACACAATTGTTGGGGCAATAGGAATCCTCTTTAACATTTCTTAGCCAACAACAGTATGTTGGTCTACTTAAAATGGACTGATACTGAACCTAACCTAAACTATAATTGTAATTGTGGACTTGTAGATTTAATTCAGAAAATGCTCTTTAAAGATAGAAATACTCTGCATTTCTCATTTGGAAGCATAACATTTTTTTCCGAGCTTTGTCTACAGTACTGATAAATTTATAGTCCTTGGAAAGATTCCCTGATAGATCAATAATAAAAAAAATTAGACCAATGTATAAATAATTTGAAAGACTTGGATAGTGAAATCAAGGAATTCAAAAATACGGGAATCTGGAAAGACACACTTTTTTATTGTTTTGTATTCTGCATACAATACTTCCCATTAAACATTAAAAAAACAATACCATGCATTTTCTTTTTCAAAAATGTTAGTGCTTATTTAATTTAGGATAGGGTAAATAATACTCCACATATTTTTTTTATTTGAAAGAAAATATAGTACAGCATTCAGAATGTTTTGATAATTTTAAAGAAACTGGACAAGAAAATTAATTATTCTGAAGTCTTTTTTGGTCATACTGCAAACAGATATAATAAATTAGTATTACTATTTATGTATTATATAACAGACTGAACAAAGGATGAGAAAGTAACTCATGATATTCTCCATTCACATATAATTTTTGGATTCTATATTGGGATTATCTGGAAAATCCATTAAAAGAAAATAGAAAAGAAAAACCGTAATTTCCTAGCAATATGTTAACATCAATATCCAAACTTTCCTGAGGGAGATTTAAAACGTTTCATTATCAAATGTAATTTTTCTGTTAAGCTTATTTGACTAGAAAACAAAGCTTCACAGGCAACACAAAGAAGCTGTGAGTTACAGCTGATTTCCAGAGGAATTTCAGTGCCAATATTTCCCCAAAAAGAATGTGGAACTACTACTCAGTTCTGCCCAGGTCTACTACATTCCTAAAGAAAATAATTATTTAATAAAGAACTCATACAGTTATTGCTCATATTCAGGGGATTTTGAGTAAATGCTTTTTATCTTAAGATTTTCAAAATAATGTTAAGAAAATAACTGTTTATAAACTTATATTTTACAATTTATGCAAATAAAAATCACTATTGTTTTAAGAAACTAATTGCTTCTAATGATTTTCAACCAACCTAGGGGTGTCTATTATGTTCTTTTGGCATAATGGTAACAGATAGTACTACATAATATTCATGTGATTAAACAACTATAATACTGTATTTGCTTTCAACAATCTTATCTCTGAACTACTACTCTTGGCATATTTCAACTGACTTCAGTTTTATTTTCCAAAAGCAAATAATCTATTAGGAAGCTAAATATTTCCTTAGTTTTTCAATAATGTAATACAAAGAATGAAATCATGAATGGTTTTATATGCACAGCCTTTCTATGTAGAGTGATCTATGTGCATAAATATAAAAGAATTACATTACATGCATGTAACCACACATATTTTCAAATGCCACTAGAAATGGAGGTGGAACATTTGGAATGTTAGATTTTCAGCCATAAGATTTCTGCATGTACATATAGAAAAGGAAGCAGGCAACTGTTTTTATTCATAATTCACAACATAACATGTTTTCCAGCACTTTGAAGTAAGCCAGTGCATGGCAGAAATAATAGGAGTTACCGTATTTATCGGCGTATAACACGCACAGGCGTATAACACGCATTCCCTTTAAGAGGGAAATTTCAGGAAAAAAATATGCGGCGGGCGCAGCGCTGACATCACGTCACGATGCTGCGCCGCCGCTAGGCACTATTGGGAACGGGATCCCTTAAAGAGGATTCCGCTCCCTGGACATCGGCGTATAACACGCATACATCATTTGCCCCCTATTTTCAGGGGGAAAAAGTGCATGTTATACGCCGATAAATACGGTACCTTCTGGGACTGCATGATTCTTGGCTTACAAGATCTAAGAATATCCTCCTTCACTGCCTTCCCCCCAAAAAAATGGAAGCAGGAAAAAGAATACTCAACATATTTTTAAAGAATTGTTGATAATGTTGTAAATGAACCTCAAATTAGAATAAATATTGTTAAATTAGAACAAATTTAAACTTTTTAATGGGGCAACTAACTGTTATTACAATAGTCGGTTTTATGAGTTGAACTGGAATTTGAGGGAGCAAACTAAAAAGCTACTAATCTAAATATATTTTCCAAAGAAAATAAAGCCGTAATTCAGTTAGAAATCAATTAGATATAATAAACACCTGACTGACAGGGAAAATGGTGTCCGGTAGGCAAGTAAATCCTGTCCCTCCCCCTTTCTCAAAGGCATTCATCCATGTGTATCTCTATATGTACATTCTCTACGTACATTCTCTATGTGAGCTCAGCCATAAACATTTTGACACAAAGAATGCTGATTCTGAAAAGGAGAGGCACTTGAAAAACTAACAGCTCAACAAAACAAATTTCAAGGACTCTTTGTTTAACTCAAGTAACTTTTATCTATTCACATTACCTCACCACCCTAAGCTTAGAAATACACATATTGCCATAACCCAAACTGTTTGCTATACTGATTAAGGGCATAGGTAAATATATCCTGTCCAGTCATGTCCAACTCTAGGGCACGTTGCTCATCTCCGTTTCTTGGCTGAGGGAGCCAGTGTTGTCTGGAGACATTTTCTATGGTTATGTGGCCAACATGGCTTATAGGCCAAAGACACACAAAATGCTGTTACTTTCCCAGCGAAGTGGTACCTATTAATCTACTTGCATTTGCCTACTTTGAACTGCTAGGTGAGCAGGTGCTGGGGCATGAATGAGAGTTCACCCTGTTGAGTGGTGCTCAAGCCTCGAACATGGGCTGTAAACTTTCCAGCTGCCAAACTCAAGTGTCCTTAACCACTGAACCATCAATCCCCCGTGATTAAATGTATACAATATTATATAATTGGCATGAATCTGTAAAGAGGGACTGTAATATCTCTCTCTTTTACTTCTAGTAGCACTTCAGTGAAGGTATGCTGGTCTCTGGTTTAAATGATTTCTAAAATTTTCTTACAGCTTTCACTTTTCAAACATCCTGCTGATCACATAATTATCTAATAAAGGCTATTTCTTCAACTATACCAGACCAATGGCATAATTGATAACTTCTTGCATACTTGGATAAACACTCCAATTTCAGGATGTTGTAAAACTTTAAAGTTAAATGAGGAAATATAACTTCAAATTTGAAACAAGCCATCCTGATCAAGAAGTCATACTGGCCTTTTAAGAAATATAAGGCAGGCAATCATAGGTACCATAAAGTAATAAATTAAGTCTTACAAGACTTTGCATATGAATACCAAAATGTCTTACAATTTTGGAAATCTTGCATAAGGTCTCATTTAATTCCCTCAATGTAGTCATCATGCAAACATATACAATGATATCAACAGACAAGAAAACATTAGTGGCCATCACTATATGGAAAAGTGATATGAATCCAGAGCCATACTTTATTTCATAGCACACAATCAATACTGGAAGTTTGCCTACTTAATACAACTGAACATTTCATAATGAAAGGAATCCAGCATTATAAGAGTTATAGTCTGTTAACAGTCTGCCTTTTCCTTCCCTTCTACCCCAATTATCTTTGTGTGAAGATTGGGACCCTCCTTGAGTAGATCTGAAAGTTATCTTGATGGTGTAGAAATCAGCTCCTTCTGTTCCACCATGAAAACTCTAACATCCCATTGGACTCCATGTATTATTATTTATAGCAAGGATGTGCAATACATAGCCAACTGTGTGATGGAAAGCAGGCGTAGTTCTTCAGTTATCCCATTTACAGCTCCTACAGTCTACTCAGGAAAAATGGACTTGAATATTTTATTAATGGCATTAATGGGAAAAATTAGTATCTTTAGTACTTACAACACGTCTTAAAAATCCTGGACTTTCCAAGCTAGGTTGATTTCTTTATTTCCTTATTTTTTTAGCTGCCAATCTTACCATAAGGTAACTCTGGGTGGCTTACAATAATAAAAATATACTGTATCTATATTAAAATAAAAATAAATAATTGAAATGGGTTTCAAACATAAATGCAGTTTTGAGACATAGCATTGTGAGTAATTTCTGGTGGAGTCAGAATGGATTGGTGTCATCCTCGTCCTTCTTGATCTCTCACCTATTTTCAATGTCTTTTCTTCCAGATTAGGTTTGGAGGATAAACAATTGGAGGATAAAATATTGTGATTCTACAGGGCAGGTCCTAGTTGGTGCTGGTACAGTGGGTTCCTCAAGATTTTACACTTTTTTTGTTCCTGTTTAACATCTACATGAATCTGCTGTTAATATGGGGCTTAGTACCATCAGTATGCTGATGATATTCAACTACTATATATATCTCTACCGCAGGATGACCAAGAAGCTATCAAACTATTTTTCTAGTGTTTGGAAACTGTGGATGTCTGATAGGATTAGAACGGGTTTCATACTAGCCTTGGCAGGATTTAATGACTGTGGGTTTGGGAACCTCCAGATCTTGGGAACTTCCATCTTTAGTATGGGATGAAATAGTAACTCACAGTTTGTAAGTGCACAATTTGGGGGGTCTTTTTAGATTCTTGGCTCCTGCTCAAAGAGCAGATAATGGCTGTAGCCAGAAAGCATTTGCAGAAACCCTGTACACCAACTGCATCCATTCCTGGATTGTGTAGAGAAAGGCAGAGTATTGTTGGAGGAGAACTGCAAGGGCTGCTAATGGATAAAAGGTCTGTAAAGAAAACGTAACCCTAGGAAAATAAGCGTAAGAAAGAAGCTTTAAATAATCCTGCCTTGATTCTAATTGGTATAAGAGAAAACAGAGAAATTCTGGCAGAACACCCAATACATTACTGTAAAATTCCAGTAATCTTTGCAGTGTCTGTTTTCCTGACCTGGTACATTTTGAAGGGTTAATATTGGTCCTGATATTCTGCCAGTCTCCTTTTATCTACTCTTATACTTCAGATGATTTTTTTTCATTTGCTTACTACTCTCCTGAACCCGAGACTTCATTTACAGAATATTTTATCTATTACTTTTGTTTGTCATTATCTCTGCCTCTCTGTAGAAACCAAAAAGGCCTTTCTTACAATCCTACCTTGGTTCAGTGGTGGGATTCAATTTTTTTTTTACTACTGGTTCTGTGGCCATGGCTTGGTGGGCAAGGCAGGGGAAGGATACTGTAAAACAGTCAGAGGTGGTATTTGCTGGTTCTCTGAACTACTCAAAATTTGTGCTACTGGTTCTCCAGAACTGGTCAGAACCTGCTGAATACCACCTCTGTCTTAGTTGTCCCTTACTTGGACTCCTAAGTATATACATGGGATTTTCCTTGAATACTATTTAGTAGATGTACAGTAACTGGTTCAGAACCATGTGACAACACTAATGTTTCAGTAGTTCTGACTTCTAGCAGACTTCTAAGTGTAATTCAAGGTACTGGTTACCACACCTATACATTTCTTCATAGCACAGGGACATGTTATTTGTGGGTCTATTTTGAATCTGACAGGGTAGGCATGTTTCAGGTTCCTTCAATGAAAGTTTTTTGCTGCAGTCTTTGTCCTACCCATGTTCAGGTTGTCTTGACCCTCTTGGTCTTTTATGAGACTATAAAATCCTGGCTGTCCTACCAGGCATTGGACCAACGTACAGTATTAGATGAGCCCATATTATAATGGTTTAGGGAAATTATAGTGATTTTCCTTGCATTTATTTTTATTAGTTTTGCTGGCTTTTAACTCAGTAATATGCAAAGCACAAATTTTTATTGTACTACAATTTTGGTTCAGTAAATGCGTGGTTTTAAAATAACATGGAAGTATCTCCATATGTTTGTTGAGTTTCTCTCTGGCTAAATGATACTTGATTTACTAGAGCAGGGGTGTCAAACTCATGTCATCACGGTGGCGTCACATGACGTATCAGGACTTTTCCCCCCCCCCCTTCGCTAAACTGGGCATGTTATGGCCAGCACATAAGGCATTTGGCCCGTGGGTTGGGAATTTGACAGCCTTGTACTACAGTTTCTGTCAGCAGAATAGGAAAATCCTCTAGAGAAAATTGAGGAGCAGAAGCCGCCCCCCCCCCCCAAAAAAGAAAAAAAGATTCCTGTGAAAATTGTTTCCTTTTACTAATCAAAACCTTTATTAGACATAATATCATTTTTCTGGTAAATAATTGGAGGTCATTCACAGAAATGTAAGTGCAGGATATTATTGCTTATTCCATACAGACTATATCTAATTCTAAAACCGAAATAAAAGCTATAATGAACCATCAAATTGGAATGGGCCATTTAGGCCACTTAGCCCAAGTTGTGCCTAAAGCAACAATCCAAATGAAAAACTTTTTCACACATGGTTTTCTGTCTTCTGTTTGAACACATCCAGCAGAGATCCATCATGCTCTATAGCAGGCATTGTGTTTTAAAAAATATTCTAATATTATTTTAGTAAATATTTAAAAATACAATCAGTAAGAAACATGAAAAGGAAAATAAGTTAAAAAGATGGTTTAAATTTGGTTTCTTTTCATAGTTTTGTCTAATAGCTAAGCATTATCTACTTCTCTGTTGTATAAGACTATATTTCTTATGAGTCTATTTGAGTTTGAGTGTTTTCTAATTTCTCCTTCAAAATCTGAAATTTTAGTTCACTGATCATTATTGTTCTTCTCTGAGTTAATTCCAATCTGTTTAAATCCTTTCTAAAATGTAGCCCAGATCTGGACATAATATTTAAAGGGTGATTTGACTCAAGCCAATAGGATGGCATTATTACTAGAATTTAGAAATGTTATTTTATTGACAGTAAATAGAACTGTATTTGCCTTTTTAAAGCTATTATGTTACAATGGTTATACATATTAAAGTTATTGCCAAGCTAGGTTTCCCTATTTTTATACCTGTGCATCTGATTAATATTCCTAAGTGAATAACTTTGTTTAAACTGAATCAGCACCCTTTTAAATAAATATAAATGATTTGCTTTAGACTTACTAACCTATATGAACATCTTTGAGCATTATTTCAAACCAGTGACTTTGGGCAGTGAACACTTTCTTCTGTTTCTGTATAAATATTTGTATAATCCACAGGATAAAATTTGACATAGAAGTATGGAATTAGACCAAAACTATGTGGGTAGCCATAAAGAAATAAACAATATAGGTATTGTTTGATTGAAACATTCATTGACTGAATTTTTAAAAAAGTTTTTCAAATGGGGAGCTTTGTGCATTGAGTACTACTGTATACAAAAACAGTTAGGTTCAAGCATGGTATCCTGAGGTTTGTTTCCAGCTTGCTTGGCTCCGTACTTTTTGTAGACAGGTTTTTCTGAAAACATCGCACTAGAATCTGTTCTTGTGCAGTAAAACAATTGTAAAACCAAAAATACCTAACATTCATCCTATATTCTTGATGTAGGTTTATTTTAATAGTACTTATGATAGTTTGGTGATCTTCAACTGTTCTAATATGTTCAAACTTTTCCATTTTTAAATATTAGAAATCTAAAATTTCATTAATACTGACTAAAGGCACCAAAGGGTAAGTTATGATAGATGCCGCAATGGAAGGAAGCAGGAAACCATCCTCCTCCTAATGCTGGGATTCATGCATGGCTTCAACAGTTGACAAACTCATGATTTTAACAATTTTCCAAACAAAATAGGAGAAAGTACACTCAAAGGCGACACATCTTTTGAGTATACAAGACATCAGGCCTGAATATAGAAAGCTGTGTCCTGTTAGACCATGCCATAGCCTTCCTAGCCAAGCTTAGAATACAATAGACAAACTATTCTATTCTCTGGCCAGTTGTTTTGGCTATCACAAAGTAGCTATTCTTTTGGACAAGTTTCCCTGATCTCTTAGGTTTGCTTCTGCCCACTCTTTATCCATCCTGTTTGATGCTATCTTCTTTTCTTCCTCACCTGTCTTCTTATTCTCTCCTTTGCCACAGCAGCAGATAAAGTCCCTAGACTGCAATGTTCCATGATACCCATGGTTTTGTGGGCACCAAGACTGAACATTATACAAAACCCAAGCTCAGCTTTCTGGTTCTTCTGCTGCAATCACTATTATATATATTCTCCACAACAATTAATTTCAACAAGGAAAGTAAACATATTACAAAAACTGTTTTGTAACACAATTCATACACAATTCCTTGCTGGGCAGTTGAAGCACAGTACAAAACATCTGGATGGCATCATAAGATGAAATAGAGGTGCACTGCTAATCAACTAAATTGGCATATAGTTAATATCAACAGTTCTGAAGAAAACTGAACAGCAGGATATTAAAAATGAACAGTTTGATTTAAATGGTATTTCATTCCAAATCAAATTCATAGATTTACAGCATTGTTAGATATACCTGGTATACCTGGTATACCTGTATAGTGAGATCAGTTTAACATTCCTTTTTCTTGTGAAACTCATTACTTTAAAAAACAGTTGAAAGCCCAGAAATACTGTAATTAGACCTGACTCTATTGAATCAATGTAAAATATAAGTCAGATTAATAAAACATGGATTTTAGTACAAATATTTTAACATTCATACACACTTAGATTGAAGATACACATTTGGGATTCATTTTATCATTCAAAGAACTAGATATGTGCATAAATCTCCACATAGCTTAAACACAAATTTACCCAAGGTAATCCTGTGTACAGCTACTTTTGCAGTTTGTATTCAATGTATCAATTTAAAATAAGTGTGTACTTTTTCTTAATAAAAACACTTTTTTCTACATTACATATAAAATAAAAAATGTAACTAAGAAAAAAAGCATTCCTGATTTTGATTTATGAAATAAAAAAGGCCAAAAATCAATCAAAAATCAAGCCAATCCACACAAAGAACAAGAGAGATGCCAACACACTTTAAATAGTGCTGTCATCATCCTCAGCAAGATTAAATGAGGATTCTGTTGGCTAAATGTGGCAAGAAAGCTTTGCCAAACCCAATTCCACTACAGGGTAGGTTTTCAAAACCAACAAAGGGCTGTTTCCAAGAGTAAACGGTTTAGTAGGCCTTTTCCACAAATGACAATAAAACCCCCCTCCTCCCCCTTTTCACTCTTTGCATTCCTAATTGAATATACAACCTCAAGCGGCTCAAATATGTACTTACATTAAAAACAGTTCTCTCAGGATTTCCATGCTAATATTCATCATATGATGCATGCTAGCCCCAACTTTCCCTAGCATCACTTCTGCAAATACATTATAAAAAGGCAGGAAAAGAGAAAAAGCGAATTCACTGGCATCCACTCACCTTTTTCACTCCCCACTCCCTCCCGACTGTGCCCCAAGTGCAGTGGCTAACAAATTGCGTTAATCATGTAATTAGCACACCCAGAGTTCAAAGCCCGACCTCGGGCTTCAGCCCGACCGACTTGCACGGTTCAGAAAAAGATGCGGACTGAACGGCACTGGCTGGCAAAAAGGCCCGTTTTGGAACTCACCAGCCATCCCTCCTCCAACCCGTCTTCCAAAATGACCGCAGGGGTCCCCAAAGCCCCGGCATTAACCCAGCCGCCGCAGGAGGGACAGAGCAACGGCTGGAATAGACAGTCAGCCCCGACACGCCCAGTAACAAACGGGAGAGAGACGCGCCTTGGCTGGCTGGGGTGGGGATGCAAACCCTTCGGGAGACCCCAGTCCTTCCTCCTCGGCCCCTTCCCGGGAGAAGAGAGCCTCCTCCCGCCGTCGGGGGTGGGGGGAACGACTTCGGGCATCAGAAGAGTCCTCCCGCCTTCTACCCTTTCCTCCCCGCTTCCCGGAGCCTCGCGTCTCCTTCTCTTCCCGCCAGCCTGGAGGAGCGAAGGATCCCCGGCTGTTTTCGCAGTCCCCGCCCTTACCCTCCAGCTCTTCCATGGCGCTCCCTGCCTGTCTCAGGTTCCCGGCCGCTGCTGTAGCAACACGGCCACCTCCCAGCCGCTAACATCCCCAGCGTCTATTGGTTTCCCAGCACAAGTGGGGGGGGTAAAGGGCGGTGCGGCGCGGCACGCAGTGCGGATGGGCTGGCCTAGGCTGCGGCTCTGGCTTCTTTCTTCTTCGCGGTCGCCGCCCTGGCGTGGAAAAGGGCGGGCTTTTTGGTGTCTAATTCCTTTGCCTGGGCATTTTTCTGCTCCTAATACCTTTAATTGGTCCTACCTCCCAAGGAACTTTTTTTTCCCCCTGCCCTTCTGGCAGAATTTTTTTTTTTGGACCGCGCTCAGCAGAAATACAAGGCGTTTTATTTTATTTTATTGCTTTTCTGCTGGGTGGGGAGCATTCACACAGTAGTTAGGCGTGGTTGGAGTCCTGGTGACCACAGGAGTGACTTTTGGATCGCTTAATAATGTATGGGACGTGAATGAATATCTGATCAGATGAAGTTAAAGCTGGTCACATTACAACACATTAGATCAAGGTTCTCCAACTATGGCATCTTAGGGACTTCAACTCCCAGAATTCCCCAGGCAACATGGCTGGCTGGAGAAGTCTGGAAATTGAAGTCCACGAGATTTCAAAGTTGGGCACTCCTGTATTAGAGGCTCAGTAAAAACAACCAAGATGCAAAAAGTCAGACATTTTCCCCAAAGGGAAGTACAGTACCAAAATACATAGTTTACACTATCCCTCATCATTCATCACTCAGCGGTGGTCATAGAATCACTTGGGTCTTTGGCCTGCTTTGAAAAGGCACGTTTTCAATGCCTTTCTAAAGCAGAGGAGGGCTGGGGCTGGATGGGCCTGGGGGAATGCTATTTTGGAGGGCAGGAGTAGTAATAGGCACATTCCTGCAGTCCCACAAGTTGTCAGTGTTTAACTGAGGGGAACAAGTGCGTCAAGATGATGGGATAGGCAGAGACACAGGCAATTTCGTAGCAATTTATAGATTCAGTGAAGCATATTTTCTTTCATAAAGGGAAATTTCTTTTAAATTTGATTCTTGATCCAAATTAAAACTGACATAAATGTAGAGAGGTCTTACAGGCAGCGTAAAATGGGTATGCCTCACTTCTTCCCTGATTGTCTGCATGGCTTACCCACTGACCTGGCTGCCAGTCTTCAAAAATAATTCCTTCTCTATTCCTTGTTTATCTCAGGTTTTATTGTCCTCTGTCAATAAATATCATTTTAATGATTGTATATGTTCTCTTCAACTACCAACATTTTTAAATAAAAAAATGAGCTTAAAGACCACATCCAAGTATGTTGACAGTTGATAGATATAGCAGAATGATGTGGATGAATACTGTTACTTGAAGTTGAATTTCTTCATAATGTATGTTCAAAGAAACAATTCATTACATCAGTAATACAGATATTTGTTATTTCTAAGATTAGCAAAAATACAGTGCTGTAGTTAAATGGCAGCATTGCCATTTTTGACATTAAAGGGTTACCAGTTGATAGTTGAAATTAAAAAAAAACATTGGAAACTTACTTGGCAGCATCTGAAATGGACACTGAAAACAGTAACATGCCTGCTAATTCTGCATAAGCATTGTGTTGCATTCTTTTTACTGTTCTTTTGGTAGAATATGTTTTTGTTTTACCCCTCTTCACTTTAAGAGTATCAGAACTGATGAGTTTTTCCCAAAGGGGAAGATTCAATTCTTGTACTTATTCTTAAAACTGGTAGTAAGGGGGTCGTATTTGTGAGAGTTTCGTCTGCTGTTACAGTCTGTTTAGCCTGTACAGTAATCTTTGGCCTGTCTTTTGCCATTTTTTGGTTTAATCCCAGGAAATACATAATGAAAAAAAATCTGCGTTGGGATTTTGTTTCAAGGGAAGCATTCTGTCACTTTGCCTGGTATAGTAATCTTGTAAATATCACTAAAAAAGATTTGCAAGAAATTTTAATGCACTGTATGTAAAAGAGGTTCAAAAACAGGATTGTGTTTTGCAGGAAAAAGAAACATTTTGAAAATTAGAAAAAATACACAATGCAAATATCATTTTAATTATGGAATTCCAATACAGTAAATGTGAAATAAAATAAAGTGAATATGTACATATGTAAGTATGTTTAAGTAAACTATTAATCATGAACAAATAGGTGCTGTGAACATAGCCATAATGACATAGGTTCAGTGCTTCATCAGATATGCAAGGTTATGAACAAATAAGCTAATTCTAATTAAATCACAAAAACGTTTGTCAATGTTTTTCTAGAATCATTTGTTTTTTAAAATAAGTTACAATGGTGAAAACATAGTGTTAGAACTCCCCCTGCTGGCTCTGAAAAATAATTTTGCAAAATTTTGCAATAGGTAGATTGTCCTTTGGAAATTGTGATATTGCTGAACTAGGGGACTTCTGGTTGTTGTGGCTGTTGTAGCATCCCTGTGGTCATGTGGTCACAATTTGGTTGCTTGCCAGCCAGCTAGCTTGCAGTTATGAGTATCCCCCAGTCCAGGGGTGGGATTCTACTACTAGTTCTGTCCATCTCTGTAGAACCGGTAGTTCTGAAGAGCAGCAGACAGAGTTCTACGTCTGCTGCTGTTCTATGTCTGCTGCAAACTGGTTCTATGTCTGCTGCTGTTTTGGCCCACCCGCCCGCCTGGACTCTTACCTGACCTTTATTTCCTTCTTTTTCAACTGCAGCTGCTTTGCGCAACACAGCTGTGGTTGAAAAAGCAGGAAATAAGGGCTTTTCCAACCACTGCGCACTTGCACGCAGCACTGCTCAGCTATCTGGGCAGCTCAGCAGGTCGTAAATTGCACTCGTACGCGCAATGTAGAGAGACAGAACCAGTAGTTATACTGGTCAGATCCCATCCCTGCCCCAGTCATACAATTACCATTTGCTACCTTTACTGCTAGCTTCCAAGAAGCAAAGTCACAGGCTGCAGGCAGAGGTTGCAAATGGTAATCACATGAAGTGGTGCCTAATGACTGCATTTAACAGCAACTGGAACTGCCACAACTGTCTGTACATTGGTGTTATGTGACATTGCACTTTATGGCTATGCTAATTAAAGGGTATAGTTCCACATGAGCAGTAGGAGAGTGCATGCACATGCAGCTCCATTTGTGCAAGTGGCAAGCATGCCTGCCCACTGCCTGCAGTAATGGAGCTGCACATGCACGCTCACCTGTCCACTGTGCGTGCAAGTGTAGCTGCTTCCACGGCCATTAGGGGTTGAGGACCCCTGAACTATTGTGCAGCTCAGTCACATCTCTCACTGTCAGCAGTTTCTCCTTTATGTTTTCTTTATATGATCTGGAACCTGAATAAGAGGGCAGAGAGAAATAATTTTGTTTTAAAATTGAAGAAGACAAGTGAAATATTTTTCTTTCCTTCCAAAATGCTGAAAGCAGAAACCAGATTGAGAAAGGGAGTGTTATTATTTAAGGCAACTTGAAATGTGATGTTTTTACACGTTTGTCCAAGACTCCCATCCTGTTGTGATGTCACTGATGTCCTTTGGTAGTAAAGGAAATATTGCTAGAAACTTACATGTTGCAGATTTGGAATCTGCAAACTATCTGTAATTGGATTTCTGTACATTACTTGTAGCTTTGCTAACAAAGTCCTAAGATCATGTCCAAAATTGGTATGACTGACTAGCATTTCTGCTCAACACATTTTTGGCAGTGTGGGTATTCCAACAAGGGCAGCATCACAGAACTTCATATTTTTTCTTACAATTGTAAATTCATTCACTATAACCTCTCTGTGGATGGTAGTATTTCTATTGCACACTTAACACAATATTGGCAAACCTTGTAATTTCATGACCACCTAAAATGGTAAATACATTTATGAATCCCTTTCCTCCATGAATAAATCTAATAAGTTCTACCTTGGTAGCAGTGAATGTGCCATCTGTTTAACATTAAATGGGTTCTTCATTATTATTATCCTATTTATCTATGCAGAGTTGGAATTCTTTCAGGACTTGTAATGTTGCCTTCTGAGAACACAGTAAAAATTTTGTATGTATAAAATAAGAATTTTTACAGGGCTTTTTCACTTTGCAAGTTGAGCCAATCGAGGAGATACTTTCTGCTCTGGACAGCAAAACAACCGTTTCCATTCCCTATTGATTTTATGCGTTTGCTGTCGAGTAGTTGATGGCTACCACATAAGAGAGGTCTATCCTTGCAACTCCTATATGCCAAACAAGTGGGGCAATGTGACTGCCAGTGTCTTCTGGATTTCAGCTTTATGCATGCAAAGATTAGTCTTACCAGAACTTGGTTCTGTTCTTGCTAGACAGCTTGTTTAAGCAAAGCAGATCTGAGTTCTCACAGAATTCTGCTTTGCCTACATGATACCAATTACAACCATCCTCAGATTTGGACTTATAACACACTTAAGAAATTTTGTCTAAATGCATGGGGATTTAAATCCCTCAAGACCATCTGCTGGGAAACCTCAACACTAGTTCTGAGATAAAATCAAGAAGAGAAATATGCTATCAGGCAGCAGAATGAGAAGCACTTGTCTTCAAAATAGTCAGCTTTAAAGGACCTGCATCTAATTGTATGCACAGCAGGATATCTGATAGCAATAGTAATTAAACTTAT